TCTGTTAAATCTGTGCCGCTGGGGCTGATTAAAAATAACGAGCTCTCGTTGTTTGTCCGTTTTACAGCCACAAGCTCTTGATAGGCTAAGCCACAACTGAACATATTGCCATTAAGAATCAGAGGACATTTTATTTTCACTGTAACACTTGTGAGTAGACTCCAGACAGACGGAAAAGGAAGAAACCACTTTTACTATTTGTTGACTACAGCCATATTGACTACATGGACTGGGATGGTTTCCTCTAGCCCCACCATAAGGTGGATTTTTTTCCCATTTTAATTGAAATGGGTAACATAAGATTTAGTTTTACAAAACTGTGCTAACTTTGATTGTATAAGCAGAAATGTCATGTGTGATTTGCAAGAAAAATATTCCTATGTTTAACTGCAATATGTTTGACCTAATCTTTGGCATTAAAGGAAAAAAAAGAAAAGAAAAGAAATAAAAAAAATTAAATGCTTTTCACATGATCAGGCTCAAGAAATCCCAGAAGATTTTATGGAAGTTTCCACATTAGCTCAAGGACAATATTGACCCGAAGATGGGGTCAGAGGAATAACAGGTGTTAAAAATGGAAGAAGTTTTCTCTGTGAGTATTTGGTTATGTGTGCGTGTGTTTTAACGGTGGCACTTCCTTTCCTTAAGTCATTTCAACATGACTCCTTGTGTTTGCCATTGGCCAATAGGAACTCACTAAAAGCATTACCATTAATCTTTCAGGGTCAAGGAATGTGCACTGTAAGAAAACTCACATGTACGTGTTGCAATATGTTTATTTGGTCCAAAATGTGCGATGGACTGAACATCTGCATCTCATGAAAGATGATCCTGGATCAGCCCTCTTTTCTACCAGTTAGCATGGCCAAGTATTCTAAGGAGCCACTCTTGATGGTTGACTCCTTCCTGAGCAAAGAACCCTAGGATGTCCGAGCAGAAATGCAGGATCAAGTTCCTCTTCCCACGGCTGATATGTTGTAACATGTATTTTATGTTCTGCTTTTAATGGTAAAATTTTTAAGTACAGGTGCATCCTGGCAGTCTCATGTATGCACTCTAGCTTAAAACAGAGGTTATATAGTTTACAACTGCATGCAAATTCTATTTGGATTCATGAATCCAGATAGATTTATTGGCCAGAGGGTTCCATCTATATTTAGTTTATATGAGAAACAGGTTTTATGAAGTCAACCTGTTGGACATAATTTTAGCTGTATAGCTCACGTGGTAGAGGATTCTACTCTTAATCTCCGGGTTCAGGGTCTTTTCCCCATGTCGGAAAATCTTAAACAGTTCTGAACATTTAAGCCTAGTCACAGACCAAAAGAAAAATCAAATGAAGATCACCACTAAAAAAGGTTTTTAGTCTAAGACAAGGCTTAATCCACGTCTGGGAAACTAAGCCTTAGTATTTAAGAGATGTTAAAAACCCGTTGCTTTAAGCCACGTTCACACTACACAGTATAGGCACTAAAAAGCCAGACCGAAAACGAGTGTTCGTCATTAAAATTTATAGTTTTATCCTCAGTCATGAATTATGAAATACTTCGACTAGCGTGACAGAAACTTCTTCCCTTCTCTCACAAAATTGAAAAGCAGACTGAAAGCAGCATAAAACAACATCTGAATTGTCATCACTATCTGATCTGTGTCTGACTTTCGCTAAATTGTCTTTCAGTTTAAAAGTTCTAAACAATAGTTGTGTGTTTGATAAAAACTCTTTCTGGTTTATTTGTATATCCACTGTGTGTTGTCCAAAGGAGAATGGACAGCATATGACTGCACGAGCCATAAGCTTAGCTACTCCTACTTAAACTTCCTCTTGTGTTTACTTTGTGACTTTTGCCTGAGTGAGTGAGCTAAGGTGCTATGGTGCCAGAGTCATGGGTTGAATCTTTGTTGATGAAAGGCCCTTATGGTTTCCAATTTAATGTGTAGATTCAAACCATTTGTCTTTAGATTTCATTTAAGTTGTATGATGGAGCTTCCCTTGTGTTTGCAAGCCAGAGTCTTTTTAATAACCCTCTCGAAATTAAAATGATGAGACTCTTAATTCTAGAGGCTAGAAGTTCAACCATGTCAGTGAGTGGTGAAGAGATTTCATCCAACTTTCTGTTCATCAACATCAGGGAGTTGCTTAAAGCCACATAGGCACAAAAGGACCTAAAAATGTAGACCCACAGAAAGAAAATAAAATCTGTTGCAGTAATCATTCTGACTTTGATATTCTTGCACAGCCATCTTAACATTTTGTATGCTTAGGACAGCAAAGGCTTCTAACTCAATGATAAATGCAAGTTTTTATTTTGGTTTATCAGGATTTTTATGGTAGGGTTTCACCTCAGTCAATCCCACGTGGTGTTTATTGCTTCCCGTCGTTGATTGATTTTGAGACCAAAGAATCTAAAACCCGTCTTTCCTGCACGTTCTCATGCTGTTTTTCTCATCTCTGCTGCTTCAGTCCTCCACTCTGTGCTTTACCCTTGACTTTCACTGTCCTCTTTATGCTCTGTCACATTTCCAAATCCCTCTCTTCTCCCACACTTTGAAATTTGCCCAACCAGACATAAATCTTTAATGGTGATAAATAGATAAATAGATGCAGAGAACAGAAAAGATCACAATTACCTGGTTTGTAGAAATAAAACATGAAGAAACAGAAATAGGGGAATGGAATAATTTATTAATATGATTATGGATCATTAAAAAGAATGAAAAAGCTTGTATATATGTGAATATATGGCATATAGGAAATAAAGATTAGTATCACACACAGCCATGTTTACTCAGAACATGAACTGTTAATTATGATGGATATTATACCTTCTTTATCCACCGATATTTCACTAAATTATCCCTCACAACTCTAGTTGGATCAAAAATAAGTTCAGTCTCTGCAGCTGCCCACGCAGGCTTACAAATATCGACATGCATTCCTGATAAGTCTGCAAGGGCTCAGGTTGGTCCCATTATGAAATCTGCAAGTCTGTGGGAATTGTTTAGGATTTTTGAAGCTCCATGTGCACATATTTATCAAACATGCTGCAGACCTTACGTGAGTACTACACAATTTATATCAGTGTTGCAGAGTGACAAGTGAAAGGCTATAAACATTAAACAGATGTGCATCTATTGCGGTAACACTGAATCACAGTATGATTTTCAGAAAATTCCTTGATGTTAAGCTACAGAAAGAGTAAATTCTAGGTTTTACGTAATGTAACTTGATATGATCATTCGTTAGACTCTCTGGTTTTGAAAGGAGTGCAGCCATGTTTATAATCCAGGCTTCAATTAAAAATTGTTCGAGGTAATCCCAAAGGCATGAGTATAAAATCATCCTAGTGAAATGAGTAAATTGACTAGCATTTGGGGTATGCCGGTACGCACACAGTCCACTTTGTTAGAACTGCTCAACTGCTTGTTACGCATTCTTATCAGCTAATCAGATGTCAACAACTCAGTGTATTTAGCACACTGGGTGCCACTTAGAAAACTGAGGCTATAATTCACCCAGACTCACCAAAACTGGACAATAAAAGTCTGAAAAAATGTTGCTTGGTCTGATGAGTTTTGATTTCCTCTGTGACATTTGGATGGAAGTCAAAATTTGGTCAACATATTAAGTATTCAGGCTTCTGGTGGTGGTGATGTTTTAATTGTGGGGAGCATATTTTCTTAGCAAACTATGGGGATTATTGTACCAACTGCGCATTTTTTAAACACCACAGCCTACCCTGAGTATTGTTCATGACCATGTACATCGCTTTATGACCACAATGTACCCATCTCATCTATGCCATGTTGCTCGCCTCAAAACAGAGCAGATTTTTTCTGTCTGTATTCAGACAGCAGTACCTTGTGAACACCTTATAACCCTCGTCTTCTCTTCTTTCCAAAACTGCTTGATTTTTTTCTCTAGCACAAACTGTAATGGAGTTATAGTCATTTAGTGCTTTTAAAATAGGCCCGCCAGCGGGCCCACAGGAAATAAAGGGTTAATCTGACTTCAGTAACAGACGAAGTAGGTTACAGGAGAAACCTGCTCTCAAGATAATATGACAGACTTCCAGTAACTTGTTAGTGCACAATAAGTAAACGGTCATGAGCAGGTGGGACTTTCTCTTTCACTTGAAGTCATCTAATTACTGGAACTGCTTGTTTGGTTGAAGCACTGAAGCACTGACGCATAATCACGTTTCACTATAACAGATTTTGTGAACAGGTTGAGATAGCATCGCTAGCGTGGTTGCATTTTAACAGACCCTTTTCCATAGTAAGGAAAAAAGAAGTTGCATCCATTAGAACTGGTGCAGGATTTCATTCCTTGCTCTACTGGGATTTTTAAGTCAACAACAAAAGAAAAATAACTGTAACTGGCTGAGGACATGTCAGAGTAAAAAGTCTTTTAATAATGTTTTACACTTTAGTGCTGGGATTTTTTTTCAGTACGACATTCTTGAAATAATCTACTAATTTACTTTCTTATTATTCATGTGGTGGGAAAAGAAAACAGTGTGTGCACTGTTTGGCCACCTGTATCAATACCTAATGTGGTTTCCCTGTAAAAATAAGTTAATCTTGAAAATAACATTCATAGGTTAAAGAAATAAAGCTCAGAGTGGGCTTTTAGCTCGAAGAGAGTAATCGTGTGTTTTTAGTTTTGAATTACAGAGCTACCATTATTCTGACCTTGAAAATTTTCTAGAAGAGCTTGCCTTTGCATGTGCTTTATACCCCAAATCATCAAGCCGGAGATCTCCATATAGCAGACCACACACATGCAGCAGCTAACCTCAAACATTTTAGAGGTGACTCCTATTATAGAATGGAGAATAGGATGAATTTCACATACTGGTGTGTGAGAGTGACAATGACCCGTAGTGCTAAAAATGTTCACTTAGTTTGGGTGACACTCTATAACTTCAAAGGAAAGCACACTGCTGCACTTTGATTGAAAAGACATGTGTTGTGTTTTAACAACTGTTTCTGCTTTACAGGAGGCCACATTGAAGACTCAGACACATGTAGGAAAAATGAAGACAAGCGATGACCTGCAGCTTAATTTCACTAAATTCTTATGGGTGAAACAAAGCTTTTTTTAGAGAGTAATTTCCTTGCTTCTATTTCTACATGCCTGCTGTGATTCTCGGTCACTATGTCACTATCAGACTGCAAAAATGGGAGCAACACTCCAAGGCTCCAAAACCACCTTCACAGCTTGCACATTGCTGAAAACTATGCAAAACGGCCCGTCCGGACGTTTTTGGACTTCAGGGACACAAATGTGGCTGAAAATCTGGACATCAAACATGTTCCTATGCTGTTTTTCAAGAACCTACAGCGCATCTCGAAAATCAAAGTGGTTAGCTTCCTCCTGGGCTTGACGTTGACATTTTTCATTATGGCTTCTTACGTCCTAATGTGGGATAAGAAAGGACCTTTGTTCACTCCATCACCATATCAGCTCAGACCTGCAGCCATCCCGACCAGCACAACAGCAACAAGAGCTTCTTCTAAAAAGAACCCAGTAAACGTGAAAGTGCTTGTAAAGCTCATCAAACAGGAGTACACACCCAGGAAAGTGCCTGATGAGAAGGATGTCATTGCAACAGACTCTCATGTAAGTTTGCTGCAGATTTTTACAACAAGAGCTTTCACTGTAAATGCTCCAGACTATTGTCACAAACAGAGACAACATAGAAGTGATAACTGAATTTATTTTTTAAGTGTTTTTTTATTTGTTGGCAAAAATGAATTATAGGTGTCAGTTAATTTACAAGCACCTTACAGTCAACCCTGCAGTAAATGCCTATTTGGTGAAGCTCATAATGACAGGTGTTTGCTAAGAATGGTTTCACAAAGCATTGCTAAGGGCCTATGGACTACTTTTACTACGTGCTTTTGCAGATGTCCTGTGTTTAGCGTGTCATCATACATTTCCACATTACAGTGCGTAATTTTGCACTATTTATGCAGAGAGCATCATCAGTTGTTGCTGTTGAGATGACTTTTACTACGTGCTTTTACAGATGTCCTGTGTTTAGCGTGTCATCATACATTGCCACATTACAGTGCGTAATTTTGCACTATTTATGCAGAGAGCATCATCAGTTGTTGCTGTTGAGATGTACAGTTATTACTACCATTACAAGTGAGTCATTAGGAGCAACAGTTAGTGGGAAGTTTGTGTCAAACATTTGGAAACACAACTGAATTTTTCCACACGGCCATATATTCTTTACTGGCTATTAACAACTTGTAAACACTGGTGTGCAAAATATATGACATAACTGACAGATGCAGATACCGAACTATACAGAGGACAGGATTTTACAAAAACAGCATCATACAAAAATGACAGATGAGTATCTCTTCCTCTCCAGCTTTTTTCAGTGATTCCTCACCGTTTCTTGCCTGGTATCAAGAGCCCTTGCTGGTACGAGGAGTTCTCCAGTAAACCTGGCAATGACCTGTACAGGAAGAACCTCTTCACACTGCGCTCAAAGTCCTTCAAGACTGTGTGTGACCGCCTGAGGGCCAATTTCCACAAGCATTTATACCACAAAGATGGGAAGGACTTTCGTCTGCGGTGCCTGCCATACTTCTACATTATTGGTCAACCAAAGTGTGGCACGACTGACTTGTTTCACAGAATGCTACTTCATCCAGAAGTCAAATTTAACATAATGAAAGAGCCACACTGGTGGACCAGGAAACGGTTTGGTAAGTCATCAGGAAATGGATGTCATTTTGGACTTGTTTTTGTAAATCTCGCAAGTTTAAGTAATACTTTAATCGATCATTATGACAGATACTTTAATGTAGATAAAGCACAAGCAGATGGTACTAAATCAACTGGTTTAAAGTGACTAAGAAGTGAAGCCTCAGTAGGAGTTTATGTGAAAAACTGACCTGGAAATAAAATGTCCACAAAGTGTCAGATTATTCCCATGGGAGGGTAGATGCCATTTATCCCGTCTGCTGCACACGCTACCCAGGCAGAAACATTTCTTCATCCAAAACTAGAATATTTCCTCTGGCTATAACTAGTCTGACACATACAACCTCACATTCTGTGCTGCATTTGAGGGCAACTCATTCAGGGGCATTTACCATTTTTCACTTCTTCTGTTCCTTATGTATAACCCAAAAATGAGTGTGCAGAGTTTTCATAGTGGTTGTGCAGATCCTTGTGTGCGTCATCTTAAAATTCCAAACTTTAGCGAGGAAAACAAGTTTAGTTTGTGCAACAACTAAACATGAGTTCATCACTTACCTGCAACATGACAAACAAGATGACACATTCATCACTGACCTTCACTGGAAGCTCAGAAAAAAATGTCAGGCTCGAAAAAGAGTTTACAAACCATAAAAAATGTTGCTGTAGCTAATGTTACATAAAAATAATAATATTCAGTAGTTTGTTTTAGTTACATCATTTTCCCCAGTAGCACTAACAGCTATATTAATGGATGGAAGAAGTGATGTCTGCTTCGGTGAGGCTGTAGTGTGCTCTGCATGGAAGAATTTTATTTAGGGAAGTCCTTTCTCCTGAACAGAGAGCACGGTGTACTGTTTACTGAATGTACAGCATGGAAAGTTACACAACTCTTAACTGCAGAAAGTAACTTCCTGAAGCTATGAGGTCACTGCGAGGTTAGAAAGGTAACCAGTGGAGACCACAGGAAGTCATGGTCACGACACATGTTCCAGCAACCGCATCCACTGTCCACATTTTACACAACCGTCCGTGATTAAACAAACAAATAGTGACTTTACAAGTATGAAGAGCAGCTTTAAGGAAAATGAAAAATGGGTGATCTGTTTGCTGTGTTCACTTTACCTTTTATGCTTCCTACGCTGTCTGTTTTCACCTGATTGAACTTGTGCTCATTCCCATTCTTCCAGCATTTTTCCTTCTTCTATACAGTTAAATACATAATAAATAAAATGGAGCTTTTAAATGTTTTTAGGAAAATAATCTTGTAGTGTGTATCTGTATAAAGTCACCATTATTTGCTGATTGTATGTCATGTAAATGTAGCTAGTGTGCAAAATGGAGTCAAATTATTGCTTATTCATAAACAGAAGAAAAACAGTACTGTTTCAGAGTCCGGAGTTTGTTTGTCCTGCCAGGGTTAAAGTGTACACACTTCATTCTCTTAATTTGATTACAAAGCAGTCTAAAAGGAAATACATCATAAGTGATGTTTTGGTGTAAATGGGGTTGCAGGTTATATCCGTTTCAAAGATGGCTTCCAGGAAAGTTTTCGTGTGGAAGATTACCTGGATCTGTTTGACTTGGCAGCCCACAGCATCCAAGAAGGAATCACTGGAAATTCATCTGGACACCACCGTGCACTCCAGCTCATAACAGGTGAACACATGTGAAAGTGTTTGTGTGTGCAAGTGGTTATGATCTATTGTTAGTGTCACTGTGCATCAAATGGAAGAATGTCTTGGCTTTTTATTTCTCATTTTGTATCTTCTGAGGGGCTTTCAGCAGCCAAACAACTGTATCCTGACCATAATTCAATTGAGTTTTTTTCTCTCTCTTCTTTTTCTTTAGCGTCAGGCCATGATCATTTTCAGCAAATGGCTCTCGTCTCAGAAGCACTACAGTGCTCAAGAGAAGAGCTGGAAGGACACAATGTTGGAATTATTCATGATATATATTTTTGCGATGTAGAACAGATAGCTCAGTGTATTTATAAGTGTACACAGAAAGCCAAATGACTTGGGGCTCTGTCACAAGAACATTTCTTGCAGGTCATTCTGTTGCACGTTGAGATTCAAAATGGAACTGGTTTCAAACCTGGTAGTGAGAGACAGCAGGACTACCAGCATCTGTTTTAGTCACACGCATTTCCACATTTTTACATGTAAAAAGACAAAACTGTACCCTTGCAAAGCAGCTCAAGCATATGCATTTACTGTATCAGGCTGCTGTTCCCAGTTAACTAGTGAACGCAAAATCTTTTTCACAGCTTTGCTTAATAGGAATCTTTTCTATGCTATAGTTTACCCAAAGGACTGCACAACTGTATTAAATCAACTGTTGTTACCCAGAATGATACTGAGACTGTCACTGTCTTGTCAGGTGAAGCCAGTGCATCCACTATGTGGGACAACCAAGCCTGGAGCTATCTTCATGCAGACAAGGAGACAGAGCCCCCCTTCCTGGCCCAGGACTTTATCCATGCAGTCCAACCCGATGCCAAAATTATCATAATGCTCAGAGATCCAGTAGAGAGGTAGAAAGAATTTCTTACCCACATCCATCTGTGTAGACACAGACTTGAATTTCTGTAGATAAACAATTTCTAACACTTCTGATTGCTTCTATGAGACTCCCTTATGTTTTTTCATTGTTGCAGAACATATTTGTTTTCAATCAAAATTTCCACTGCACAAATTGTGCAAAAATGTGCTTTCCTGCTTCCAGTTGATTTATGGTTTCACTTTGTTGCCAGGCTCTATTCTGACTACTTGTATTTTAAGACGGCCAACAAGTCTGCAGAGGACTTTCATCAGAAGGTCATAGAGTCTGTGCAGTTGTTTCAGTCCTGTGTCTCTGAATGGTCACTGCGTTCCTGCGCCTACAACACCAGCCTCTTCAACGACATGCCAGTGAGCTAAAATGATTTTCTCATTTTTAAGAATATTAGGAGCCTTTTATAAGCATTTTCAATGATGAAACATTTGTACTTTGAGAATCCACCTGACACTGTAAATGGATGTTGCTGTGCTGAAGTGAAGCAAACAACTATCATGCAGCACTCTCTTGGGAATAAGCTGAGTTATGAGCTCTGGCAGTTGGTCATTTTTTATGATAACATACAGATGACAACACTGTTATCTTGAAAGATTTAATACAGTAAAAGCCAGTTCATCCCGAAAACACTGTGAGCCAAAGAATGTGTCTCTGATCTAACAGCAAGTTCAGAAAAACAAACTTAATCCTTTATTTACATGACTCTTCTCTTACGAAAGAGAAGATGACTAGGGTTTGTGGCACTCGATTTGACCAGTATCACAGCTACAATAGGTGATGTTGTATAGTGGCGCCCTCTGGAGGACTCAAAGTGTCTGTGCATTTAGATTAAATAATATACTGTCTTGCTTCGTGTTATTATTTAGGTTCAAGAAGAAAATTATACTAAATAATCACTATAACTGAATCCATGCATGTGGGTCACATTAGTTTACTTGCTGTTAATATCTAATTTATCCAGAAAAGGTCTTGTTGGCTTTTTCCATAGTTCATCTGTGTTTGACAACAGTTGTTATGGTTTTGAGAAATATTGAGACTTTTGATGCACTTTGCCACATCTGTATAAAATCAAACGCATTTCCATGCAACATTTCTGTGAAAGAAGGAGACATTCTTAAGAGCTCTCCGAAACAGTAGTTAATGATTAATCATCTGTTTATTAATGTAAAATACACTACTTACACATTCTAAGAGATCTATATGTCAAAATTTGGTATAAACATAGAAATCATACCGTAAAGGTATCAAACGGTATGTAATAGACTAAAATGAGCACTTTAAAGTGGTCAAGAATTTAAGATCAGTGCTTGATATACTACTACTCAATAATGTAGTATATTAGTAAATCCCATGACAAAGGACAAAACCAAAAATCAGTATTTACGCTGTGTGCATTTCTTCACTTAAGCATCATAATTGCAACTGATGATTTAAACAGTTAGAAATAAAATACTTTTATCATATAAAAAGCTCAACTGTTTTTTAAATAATGTATTTGGTGTTTTGTTTTTTTTGTTTGTCTTTTTTTTAGATATCTACAGGAGGACTCAAATTTTGACTTAAAACTTTCAATTAATTAGTTGATAATAAGGAAAAAAAAATAAAAGCAAGAGCAGCTGTGCCCCTTTAATTTCAATGACTTTAGATCAACAGGTCATATTCAGATTTTATTTTTGGCCTTTGTAACAGCAGCTGGCTCACCACAGCGATTTGTCATGTTGATTTGTTGTTGTTGTTTCTCACCTTTGTCCCAAAGGTGAGATTAAATCTGGGGATGTACATCATCTTCTTACTGGACTGGCTGAGTGTTTTCAGTAAGGAACAAATCCTTGTTCTTCGACTGGAGGACTATGCAGCAAACCTTAAAGAGACAATCCAAAAAGTTTTTGATTTTCTGAGTGTAGGTAAGTGTCCAAAAAGCTACAAAAACATCAGTCAGAGTGACTTTGTCTTTGTAAGTGAAATAAAATCCATTTTTACGGGTTGATTATGCATTGTTTGACTTTTCCTGTAGGTCCTCTGTCACAGCAGGTGGAGGCAGCACTGACCAAACAGCCTATGTCTAACACTCGGCGGGAGGAAGACCGGAGTCTTGGTCCTATGCTTCCGGCTACCAGGAACATCCTCAGGAATTTTCACCAGCCTTTCAACCGTAAACTGGCCAGTCTGCTGGACAACAAGGCCTTTCTCTGGAATAACTCCTGAAGGAGCACAAGCACTGATAAAATTCTTGTTTGAGATATTTATTTGCTTTTGGAATATTGTGAGCCTTCGAGATAAGATAACAATAAAAATAATTGAATTTGTTTTTTGATTTTTTAAATTGTGGCTTTGATGCACTGTTACAATAATAACCAATACATTAATCTACACTGAATTTAGCTTTCTCTTCTTTTAGGCCTTAAAATGCTTTTATTGAATATCATAGGATCATGGTACTATTTTATACAGTATAAAGAAACATTACCTGTCCTAGTATTGAGTTTTCTCTTTCAAATATTGTTTGCAAAGATTAATGGAAAATAATTTACCCCTGTAACAATACAATTTATGAATGATCCTCAAATGAAATGGATGTTTATAATTATAAAGACTATTGTGTACTTTGATAGCACTGGTCTGTGCTGGTCAGAAGGTCCAGCAGGTCTGGAGAAAGTCAGGCTTGATATTTCATTACTTGAAAGTGAATCTCTTAAACCGTAAGCCCTGATAAAAATGCAAATTCAAATTAAAATTACAAATATAACACTTTGAATTAACTTCAGATATTTCTGCTTCATTTTTCATGAAATAAAAAGGGAAGAGGCCTCACCTGGCTATTAAACTGTTGCCAGTCATTTGTCCAATTACTTTTGAGCCTCTGAAAATGGGGGACAGTTTATAAGACTAAACAATCTTGATTATTTCATTTAAATCCATTGTGGTGGTATACAGAGACAAAACTACAATAATTTGTCTTCGTCCAACAATTTATGGACCTAACTGTAGAACTAAACATTATCAGTATAAAATAGATGCCAGCTATGTGGGATAATTTATTAAAGCAACAAAACAGTGCTGCAAATAACTACACATCCTGTCATTCCATGTGGCCACAAAATCTCACCAAACGCTTACCTACAAACATGACTCTTGGGTTTGAAAATTTTTTGTAAATATATACACATAGATTCAGACAGAGTCAAACCAACTTTGGGGGAAATAAAAGGGCAAATGTGGATGGTAAGTAATTAAATATATGATACGTGAGAGATGGAGTGATGTCTGAGTGAGACAAATAATACATCATGCTGAAGTTAAGGCATTAATCACAAGAGGGCACTAAAACACACTATAATTCAACACTTTAACACCATGCAACTAGACACTGAGACATCTCAAAGTATTATAGGTATTATACTACAATGTCACATTGATAACAATTTCATAATGTAATATGTTATTAATATTCCAATTTATTAATATTAGGTGTGTGGACACTTTTCAAGCAAGAAAACGTTGAAATTCCAAGACACTTATTCAAGTACAAAAAGATGTTCTCGTGAAATTAGGAATTTTTAAATAACCAACACTTTAGTTTAGCAGAAGAGTCTCCTTTTCTGTGATCACCAGTGTTTTGGTTTGTGTCACTGAAAATTACACTTTATCTTATATAATGACCTGCCTTCACATTCCTTGTCTTTAAGGACTAATTGGCTTTCAGCTCAAAATAAACTACTGCCTCATGATGTTGCACGGAGTGAATTAAAGTGCCATCAAAGTTTTGCTCACATGAACTGCTGTTTTACGCAGATGAGTTACTCATGCAAACACTTTTCTATAGTCATGCTCAACTGTTATTTGCGGAAATTACAACTATTAACTGTGACATTTTAACTCTTCAGCTGTTTCCCATATAATTGGTGAGAGAAAAATCAAAGGTCAATGACTGAGAAAGGACTGTGTGTGTGTGTGTGTGTGTGTGTGTGTGTGTGTGTGTGTGTGTGTGTGTGTGTGTGTGTGTGTGTGTCTGTGTGGTGTGGGAACTCTACTTTGTCTGATTGATCACTGGAGTGAAAACTTGGTTTAGGTCCTTTCTGAGATACTGCCCAATTTTTCAGTGCTGTAAAACCACCAGAAAGGGTGGTTCCCACAATGCATGTTCTGGTCATGTGTCCCTACAACATCATAAAGACAAGGATAGAGGGTGTGTGTGTGTGTGTTTAGCATTTTGATTATGATTGTCACTTGTCTCACAGAAGCCAGCAATCTTTCAAGGTGTGTTTCTATTTATGTTAAAATAAGAGAAAAGTAGTTCAAGCATTTCAGGAATGGCCTTTAAGCGTGATGTTGATGGCAATTCTCTCCAGTAATTTGGAAAGCACAAGAGCCTGATAAAATGGAAGAATTTTAAATGACACTTTATCAAAGCCGTGAGACATCTGAGTGTAGAGAGTAGTGTGTGTGTGTCTGTGTGTATTTAAGGTGTTAAGATGTTGTTAGAGTCAAGTGCCTTTTTTTGTTGCATCACTCCTCTTCACACCCGTTTTCACAGTTTCAACTCATTCACACCTGAGAGCTGTCAAGAGAAGCCATGATCATTACCATCATCACGACTGAGCAGTTTTGCTATAGAAGCATAATATCCAGTGCCTTGCTCATGAGCACGTTGAGTTTGGTTGCACAGAGTAAGGCTTCTGTTTTTCCTCACTTCTGTGTGGAATACGTGCTGTTGCACAATGATCCCTGGACATAAATACATTAACATTTCAACACTAAGAGTGTTTTTTATCAGTAAAGTCTAGTGGAGAAAGCTGAAAATGTAACAATCACCCGATTAGTAAACCACAGTAAAAAACACATTTCTTTTCACTTGAGACTCACATGTCACAGTGAGCAAAGTGCTGGTGTAAAAATAAATGTAGACAATAAAAGATGACATTTGTTTTATAAATTTTTCTTAAAAAAATTCTCGTTTTTGTTTTCCACTCTTGGCTCATGATGACCTTCGTTAAATTAGAAAGCTTTCATGTGGAAGAAAAAGGCAATCAACTCCTTGACGCATCCTCAGCTCTCTAATGAGTGGATCAATCGAGAATGCATTGAATAATGATCATTAGTCTAGACCTCAAACATGAAAGGCTCAAAGGAGACAGAGACATAATGGGAAGAGGGAAAAGAGAAGGTCTAGGATATTTTTAGTAGTTATTAGTTAAGCTACCTGTTCAAAATTGAAGTAAAGTTGTTGTTTGTTTAAATTGTGAATACAGTACATTTCGGTACAGTACATACACTGTTGATTCAATGTTGCAGTTAAAGAGAATCGACTGATTTCTCTTAAACCCCATTTTTCTTCTTCTGTTGTGCTCTCTTTTTTGCGTTTTGTGTTAATAAAGACTGACTGGCAGGAAAAAGAAACCTCCCTTATCCATATATTTGATCTGAAAAACCTAAAATTCTCTATTTGTCTGAAAAAGTCTGACAGATAGCAAGTGGAAATAAGAAACTATATTGTTGTCCACTTAACTTTTGTTAATTTTTAAAAATCTTATTTTGTTTGTTTCTGTATTCTCTGCTCTTCTTTGATATGTAGGTAACTGACTTAAAAGGCCATTGCCATTTCTATTTACCAGTAATGCATTCAGGTTTTATCTAGTAAAGCTTCTTAAAAATACGTGAGGTCAGAATGAGAACAATGAGCCTCTTGATAATGATGACTAAACAAAAACAAAACAAAAAAAACAAATGCAAAACATTAGCACGTAGTTTGATGCAGACGCTTGGATGTCCTGTATCCAGGGTCTACAATTTTGTTGTGACATCCACATCTGTGCTGAACATAGTGAAGTGCCAACATCTAGCACTCTAATTAATTCAACCCAGTTAATCACTGTTCATCTATACCCCGATTATGAGAATGTGCTGGCAGTTGTTGATGTGCAATGATTAGCCAGATTCTTGGCAGCAAGGAATTGCAAACCAGAACTATTTGTTTCTGCTACTCCTTAAAAAAATACAAAAAAAGAAGAGTTGAGTAAAAACTAGCAGACACTGGGAAAAGAAAAATGACTCCAAGGCATAGAGAAGCAGACAACAACAACCAGTATCTATGAAAACACCAAATATGTAAATATTGGAGCATCAACACTTACATGGATGTCCTCGGGTTTTATCTTTTAATGTGTTTCTCTGCAGACACTCGGGGTTAAAGTGGAATTTGGCAGGTGGGTGAACCAAAAGTTCAGGTGTAGTGGAGCAGCGTATGGTCATGTTACACTTGCCATTATGGCTGCTTTAAATGTAAAAAGCATCTGTAATCCATAGCCAGTATAAAGCTGGAATTTGGCAACAGCATAATGTCAAACTGAAACTGATGACATCTACTAGAAGCAAGTCCTGTTACTCAGCAACAATATTGTAAAGCATCTGTGCACTTGTATTTACAATTATTTTGACTCAATATCTAACTTACCTTTCATTTCAAAGGTGGCATGTCACTCTCTCTCAGTTTATGCGTCAGTTTAAGCGCATTTTGGATAAAGAATTTCTAAAACTTACCCCGATTATGCCCATTAAATGTCTGTAGAGCTAGCTAGTTGCTGAATACGGAAAGACCAGTTGTAAAAGTGGCATGATTTGGTACTAATGGCTTTCCGTACATGAACATAACTTTTTTTATCTTACCCCTGAACGCATCACAGGGATGAGACGACAAAAGCATTTGTGCACCCTGGATCATGTGGCAACTTAACTGTGTCTGTCACATCACCTAAAATGATGCCAGACTGCATAGAAAACTGAAAACATTTGACAATATTTTACTGCCAATCAGATTTAATTACTCATTAAGAGGAGGTGTCGGATCAACATTCTGGGTTGGCCCACTTTAACTCCTGCTGAGCCTGCATCTTTATGACTGACTCAAGCGGTTTATAAAGGTACTCGGTAAGCAACCACCTGCCATGCATTGCAAATGAATGATGCCGATAACGGTGTGTAGTCGAACAACAAACGCTCATAAGTGTCAGAATTAATCTAATTAATTACTTAATATAAGAAGTTTTAAAATAAAAATTGAATATTGGCTTCGATTTGTGAGATTGATTTATATTTTTTGCACAAAATACAAAACAATTTCACTTTGAGTAAAATATGGAGTATTAATTTGGAAAAATCAGTGTAAACATGAGTTCAACTGAAACTGGATCAAACCATTTCAGACAGTCAAACAAAGTGAAATCATGTTTTGTCAGTGCAAAACTTGTCTCTCTCTTAACTGTCCATGGAGAACGATGTATATTTAACGTAAAATTCAGCTTGTAGAAAA